CTAAAGAAATGTTTATCCAAACATTAAAAGAGATCCTTGCTAAATAAATTACTCTTATAACCTTGTTATAAGAAGTGTAAGCTGACCCTTACAACAATCTTACCAAGTAAAATGTTCTTACTCCACTGGCAGAAATGTTTGACTTGATTAGAGTCAAATTTTCAGACTAACAAGACAAATAATCTTATATATTCTGAAAACAAGATGATTATTCTTACACAATCAGTTCTTGTTTAGTAAATCAGTCTGAAAACAAGATCAAAAAGACTTTTTGGCTGATATAAGGTTTTAAAACTTGGTTAGATGGACAGTTTTTGCAGTGTAGTAGTAGTAGTAGTAGTAGTAGTAAGGTAGTGAATTTTTACTATAAAAGCTCCAGAATAGGACAAAAATATTATATCCAGTTGGGGTTGGGCAAAATCTTTTCGATGTAAAGTTTGTACTTTTGACACAGTTTGGAGCAGATTTTTACAGAGTGATTTAAATTGGTCATGTGACTGCGATATGAGGGCATCCAGGTGATTAATAATCATATTATCAGCTAAATACCTCAATTAGTCATGATCTTTTTTTTGCAGATAACATCTATCCCTATTTCAGATTTAAACAGATGATCAGGATTAAAGATATTTTTTCTCTCAAAGATTGTGCAGAGGTTTAGTTTCACCTCTTCATCCAGAGTCTGCAGGTTTTTAAAGTTGAATATTTAAATCCTGTCAGCGTTCACTGGAGGACTCTTCCCCCGACAGCAGCAGCAGTAAAAGTTTTCAGCCTCATCAGGCAGGTCAAAGGTCACGGTTAGTTTCCACACCTCAGTGACAGGTTCGACACTCCGTGTGTTCAGGCACATGTTYGCTGACAGGCGTGTTTTTTCTGCAGAGAAAAAAGTTTTTTCTCACGTCCTCCCTGCTGTGGTGATAATCTGGCTCAGACTCCAGGATTATCTGTTTGCGGGAAACTCTAGAAGCTTCTTCTTGTTTCTGCTCAGCTGCTTCCTGGGAGGCTGCCTGCCTTCTGCAGAGAATGTAAAGTATTCAGAGGTAATTATGGGATGGAGCCGGAGGGCGGGGCTCTGTGGTCGGGCGGGAACGTCATCTTTGTAAAGTTCACCGTGAGGAAACTCCTCTGTGCTCCTTTCAGCTGGTTTGTGAGCCAAACAGGAAGTGTCTGCAGCCCGTTACTGTTGTCTTTTAAAACTAGGTTGTAAATCTGATACTTTGTTTATAATCCACTCTTTATAATCCACTGTCTATAATCCACTGTTTATAATCCACTGTTTATAATCCACTGTCTATAATCCACTGTCTATAATCCACTGTCTATAATCCACTGTCTATAATCCACTGTCTATAATCCACTGTCTATAATCCACTGTTTACGGTCTGAGCAGGCTTTAGTTTGACGTTCTGATGAAGAGGATGATGTTTGTAATCTGTTCACTGAAGTTCAGCTGCAGTTTTAGCTGCTTCAACACAAACTTACAGTTTTTATCTGAGATAWAACCAGGCCTAAAAACAAACTTGTAAGATTTTATTGTTTTTTTGTACAACAGCTGATTTGATTTTATATCTGTTCTGTTTTATAAAAGACAGAACAAATCAAACTTCAGGTGCTCCTGCAGGTAAAACTGACAAACATCTTCTGTTTTCAAGCAGAGAATTGGCTGAAAACCAGGTTTATGGTTAGTTTATGTAATGAAATAAAAATGAATGGAAGTCAATGTAAAGTCCCCACGAAGGTAGCAACTCATGATTTGTGTGTGTGTGTTCTTGTTTATGCTGCAACATGAGGACATCATGTTTTAACCAGTATCTTTAATTATGTTGTCATGTGGACGAGTCGGTGCAGGTCCAAGCCTGAGTCGGTCCTGTGTAATTCCTGGAAAGCAAACAAACATGTTGAAGCTTCCGGATGGGTTTATTTCACTGTCTGACCTCTGACGTCTCTTTTGGATCAACTTTAATGATGCCTGAGAACAAACGATCATGTTGATGAATAAAATACGACCAGTTCCAGTTTTATATGAAAGAAAAGCAGAAAAACTTTTGAAGTTTCTGTAAAGTGAAGTTCTGTTCTCAGATGTTTCAGCAGTTCCACACAAAGAGGCTCACACAGACTCACACAAAGACACTGTGGTAAGATGACTCCTGTAGTGTTACACACACACACACACATTCTTGTACTTCCATCAAACTGAGGACTTTGTATTGACTTCCATTCATTTTTTTCTAAACCAAACTAGTAGAGCGGGGATAAGCAGTGAGGACCGGGTCAAGGTCCTCATTTTGTTGGTTGAAACATGACGTCCACACATTGTCGCATAAACAAGAACACACACACACACACACGCACACACACACACACACACACACACATATCATGACTTGCTACCTTCATGAGGACTTTGCACTGCATTTGAACCCACTGGACTGGGATCTGGGCCCTGTTAGCATCAGTAGGTTCCCAAAAAGTGTTTTTTTTCTCGCCTTGCTTCTTAACAGACGCACTGAGGTGAGTAGATCTGCAGTTTTTTGTGTTTTCAGCTGATTCTCTGGTTGAATAAAGATCAGAAGATGTTTGTCAGTTTTACCTGCAGGAACACCTGATGTTTGATTTGTTCTGAGAACAGAGGATTAGATCCCAGCAACTAAAAGAATAATAGTTTTAAATTGTACAAAATACCTTTTTTATAATTTTGTCGACACGTTTGATTTGATTTTAATTCAGATAAAATTACTAAAGAAAATTCAAAGTCAATCTGAGCAAAGAGGGTTTTTTACAATCCTATAAAAACCTCTGGATCTCTGTGGGTGGAAGCAGGAGCTGAAGTCAGAAGGCCATGCGTCATGTTCAGCTGATGTTTACTGGTCTGTCTGGTTCGATGAGACGCTGCTCGGCCTGCGGCTGGTTTACACTACACGTCTGTCTCCTGTTCTCTGAGGGAACCATTGGCATGTTGACCCCAACATTTTGTTCTAACGGGCCAATGGCAGGTCGTGTTCCAGCTCTGGACTAAACGTTTTCTGTTCTGTCTGTCAGCGTTTGACTGATAGCTCAGGTTGTTTGTCAGCTCCTCTCTGAACAGATGTGACAGTTTAAATATTTCTTCTTCTTGTCGTTGCTGCAAGAATCATCATTAAATGAAGCCATGAAGCGTTAAAATCGATGGCTTTAATTCTGTGGAATTTATTTCCCTCAAATCTGAGATTCTGGTTTTTCAGCAACGTTATTGTTATTCAGGTGCATCCGTCCTGCTTTGGCATGATATGACGACCAAAATAAAGACTGTTGGACAACCAGCAGTTACTACATCTTTGTAGCAGGAGGCTATATCTATTTCTAAACAGCTATTGATCTGATTAATGAAAGGCTAGCCCTGCTAACTGAGAGGTCAGCGCTGGCTAATGAGAAGGAGAATATTCATTTGAGTTAGCATCAGAGAGGCTAGCCACTAGCATGGATAAGCTGGTGTTAGCATTGGAGCATTTAAAACAAGCAGTAGAAACCAAAGGATTCAGATTTACTCTGGTGTGTTTGCTGTGTTTTTCCAGGTGGAGGAAGAGGAGGTGGAGGTGGAGGTGGAGGAAGAGGATGTAGACGGAGGATCAGTGGAGGTGGAAGAGGTGGAGATCGTAAACGTCATCCAGCAGAGGCCTCTGCAGTCGATACAGACCAAGTTCTCCACGTTGGACGTAAAGGAGCTGCCTGAGCCCACCAAGCTGGACACGCGGTACTTCGGCGAGCTGCTGGCCGACGTCTACAGGAAGAACTGCGACATCCACTCCTACATCTCCGACCACGTGTCCAAGATCCGCGGACAGTGAGTCCACACCTGCCTCTCTCTTTCTTAAGTTTGTTTTTCCTCTCTAAACCAGACTGAATTAAAGTTAACCTGGGATCTCAGTTCAGTCCTGTAAACCTAACCTGTACACGTTTATCATCCTGCAACATTTTTCTGCTGGATCGAGTTCCCTGCAGCTGAACTTTGTAACGTTAGACTCTAATTAGATCCTAACATCAACAGGATGGCTTTAGTGTCTGCATCTCAGGAAGCTAAGATCTGTAGATGATGTCATGGAGACAGACGGTGGCTTTGGCACTTTGCCTCCTTTAGTTTCAAATGCAGCTTGTTGAAACAGGTCAGGAACCAGTTCCTCTGGGTTTCATCGAGCTCAGTGGSTCTTCATCATCACCAAAGACAAGAGCTTTAAAACAACGCTTTGGTTCTGTAATCCTGCTGCTTTTACACCAAAGCTTATTGGATTATTTCCTGTGGGAGAGATGTGCTGACTTAGTAAAACAGCTGATATTTCTGTTCAGTTTGATTTGACTGAACAGTTTGATTCACAAGAACAGAAAACCTTTTTAAACACATCAAATGCCATCAAGTTTCCTCAGCTCTCCTTCAGGCAGGTAAATCCAGARCACCTGCTTGAATGACAGAGCAGGTTGACGAGTCAGGTGGTTTAATTCAGCCAATCAGAGGCAGAGGGGAAAGTTTTCACCTGTCGTAAAAAAAAACTCATCTGATTCATGCAGCKTCTTTTTTATTAATAGTTTGTTAAAGAGTGAAGCCTGAAGACAATAAATGTTCAACTTTTCACCTTAATGAGGAACTCTGACACGCCCACATGCTCACATCCATCACTTTGTAGAATGTGACTGATGTAAGAAAATTCTTCTTTAAATCAAACCTGACGTGTTTGACTCCACCACCACAGGAAGTTCTGATCCAGTAGTTTGTAGACAGGGTTCCTACAGATCCTTAAAAAGTCTTATAAGGCATGGAATTTTTTGATTCAAAAATAATGCCCTAATTAGGCTTAAAAAGTCTTATATCAATCTTTCAGAGGTCTTAAACATGTTAACACATTGTAGGTAGGGTGATTGTAATTTGTCTTAAATATTAAAATAATTGGTAACATTTCTTTAGTTTTAAAGATAATCAAGTGGCATTAAAAAGTCTTAAATCAATCTTTCAGAGGTCTTAAACATGTTAACACATTGTAGGTAGGGTGATTGTAATTTGTCTTAAATATTAAAATAATTGGTAACATTTCTTT